CGTGAGAAGCATTTTCCTTGTGACTTCGTACGCCGAGGTGAGGCCAACAAGAAGGGCGGCCACAGGAGCTTGTTTGGGGAAGATGATACGTAGCTCCTTGAGCTCGCCATGGATGGTTTGTACCTTGGCGATGTAGTCAACCATGCCCGAGTAATCCTCAAGGCGGACTTGAAACATACTAGGAATGAGGATGGCCACCCCGACCGCCATTTTTTTATAAACCTGTCCTGGAGATGCTTAAAGATGGCGTTGGAAGTGAGGCAGTTGTGGAACGTGTTGACAAGTTCAGGAGGAGTGGAGCTGATGAAGAAGCTAATGATAACCGCATCGGCCTTCTCCTACTTGCGGTACTTGGCAAGAGAATCCTCGTACTACTGGGTTGCCATAGTATCGATTGGATCGGACATCTCTTTGGGAATGGGGGGCTGTTTTCCCTTGCCATGATTGAGAATAACGTCCTTGAGGTCAAGTCCACCCACTTCACGACTCAGGAGGAGCTTGTCAACCCCGTAGCTCCATGCCTTGAAGTTGGAGCTAGTGCCGTCGGCTTCAAGGCGGAGCGGGGTGATGGGGTTGGCGAGAGTGGCCGAGGCGAAGGCCATGGTGAAGAACCCTTTAGGTCTCGCGTGAAGCGTCGTTCTTGAGTCACCGATAGGAACTTGAGGTTTAGGATTTCCGAAGGAGAATTTGAAGAACTTGGGGTTTTTGGTTTACGAAAAAGAATTGTGAGGTTTATGGTTTTGGAAGAAGAAAATCCGAGGGATGAGAAGAGCGAAAAGCTTCAGTGGCTGCCGCTTCGGAATGTTTCGTAGAATGAATTTTAAGGCCGATTTCGGTAGGTAACTCTATTCCCACACACCCCCCCACACACCACCCTCAGCTTCGCCGCAGCGCTGCTGCTCAGCTTCGCTGCTACACGGCTGCTCAGCTGCGCGGCTGCACCTATTCAGCTGCGGAGTGCCGTTGCGGGGCGACGGGCAGCAGCCTGACGAGAAGATGCAGGGCGACGAGCGACGGCCCGACGAGAAGCTGCAGGGCGACGGGCGGCGGCCCGATGAGAAGAAATGGAGCGAAGACGATTGACAAGAAAAATGTGATTGGTTAGAGCGCCAACGATGCGCTTACCGGAGAAGTTGCGAAGTCGTCGAGAAGGAAGGGAGAGTGGCGCGGAATAATTTCCGGCCAAAGAAATCGCGAATCACCGGCGACGTGATTGATGGTGGTTACACCGAAGAAAGCGGGACAAAAGCCCGTTGAGATAGGAGGATCATAATACGCGTGTGCAGTTGAATCGCTCTGATACCATGTCAGAACTTGAGCTTAGAATCCATGCATTAGTAGTGAGCTTAAGCTCTTTAAGTACATCAGAAATGAGCAAGGTATGGATGGGTTTGGAATCGGGGGCAATCCTAAGGAATTGGGGGTAATCCCAGGGAATTGGGGATAATCCCAAAGCAATCTCCAATTGGTGGGTTGGAGATTGCTTAGAGATTACATTTGGGTTTGGTTGGGATGTGGGTGTACACCCAACCAAACACAAAGTGCAAACTACACTAAACTAGGATATAAAAAGTACAAGTACAAATGTGAGATTGAGGACTAACATTAACAAACGGGAGAGTCCGGTGGTGGAGGAAGTGAAGCTGGTAGGCCGAGAAGAAGTTTCTTGGAGGCCATGCCAGTGATCGTGGGGAATTTTCGGTGCCCGAGCCGATGGTGGTAGAGGATGGTCGGGTTAGCGAAGCTGCGACATGACCATGGTGTGATAACAGCCTGTGCTTGGGTACACGCAACGTGTAGAGGCCACTGTTGTTGAGATTGAAGCGAGCTACGACCTTGTTGGTGAGTGGGTCGATGATGTCACAGTAGTCAGTGTCTGGAGGAAAGATGACAAGCACCCCTGCCTTCTGAAGTTCTTTTAAAGCCACCAGATTGTGGCGTAGTGAAAGCACGCACAGGCCAGTGACTGTGCCGGATGGGAAAGCAGGGCATATGACTGTGGACGACCCCTTGACAATAATGGTGAAGCTTGAATCGGCTCCCAGGAGAGGAATGGGTGTTGAGTAGGGTTGGAAGGAGTGTGTCTCCTTGAGCACTGTATGTGTCGCCCCACTGTCGAGTGTGAATTCTATATACTGTGGTGCCTGTGGTGAGCCGATGTGCTGCGAGGTTGCTTCATTAATCATAACAGTGCCAGGGAACAGCAATTTGATGGTTATCGAGGTGAGGGCCATGGTGAGTAGCCCTTGAGTCTCACGCGAAATGTCTCTCTTAAGTCACCGATAGGAACTTCGGGTTTAGGGTTTACGAAGGAGAACTTGAAGAACTCGAGGTTTAGGGTTTACGAAAGAGAATTTTGAGGTTTAGGATTTTCAAAGGAGAAATTGAATGAAACGCCGATTTCAGAACTGTCGACTAACCGCTAACCCTGGTCCCCCCCGGCCCTGTCCCTCAGCTTCGAGGCTTTGCTGCTACACGACTGCTCGGCTACACCTGTTCAGCTGCCGTAGCGGGGCGACGGGCGACAGTCCGAAGATGACGCTGCAGGGCGACGGGCGTCAGCCCGATGTGAAGTTGCAGGGTGATGGGCGGCAGCCCGAAGGTGACGCTGCAGGGCGACGGGCGACAGCCCGACGTGAAGTGATGCTGCAGAGTGACGGGCGGCAGCCCGACGTGAAGTGCCGCTGCAGGGCGACGGGCGGAGGGTTTAAAGTTACGCCGAAGCGGGAAGAACAATGGGACAGAACAGTGGTGATTCGGGGCGAGTGGCGAGAAAACGCTAGTGATGGTTACCTTTAGCGAAGTGCAGAAACCAATGCACCATGACTGTGAGAAAGGTAGCGCAAGAGAAAGTCTGCCCACGGAAGATGTCACGAATCACGACGACGAGGACGGCGCGAGAGAAATTCCGGTCGGGAAGATTAGGTCGATGACGATCCTTAACGTCGAACTAGGCATGAGCAGGGGGCGAACTCGAACATGTTCGTGTTCGCCCCCTGACGAACATGGCCTTCTGCCGAACCGAACAGTGTTCGGTTCGGCGAACGACTTGAGTGAAAATAGGTGTTCGCCGTTCGCCCTAGGAGGCGAACGAATTGCTGCAACAGGCGAACACGAACATGTTCGTGGCGAACATGTTCGTGTTCGCCCAGGGGGAAATTCAATATAGAGTAAAATTCAAATCGTCGCACATTCTCTCCCCCCACCTCCCAAGCCAGTCCCGCCCTGCTTCATCCATCTAGTGCCAGCGTGCAACGGCGAAATGCTAGATCCGCACTTAAGCAGCGGCGAAATGCTAGATCCGCACTTAAGCAACGGCGAAATGCTAGATCTGCACTTAAGCAACGGCGAAATGCTCGATCCGCACTTAAGCAACGGCGAAATGCTAGATCCGCACTTAAGCAACGGTGAAATGCTCGATCCGCACTTAAGCAACGGCGAAATGCTCGATCCGCACTTAAACAACGGCGAAATGCTCGATCCGCACTTAAGCAACGGCGAAATGCTCGATCTGCACTTAAGCAATGGCAAAATGCTAGATCTGCACTTTACTAACTGCGAAAGGCCAGATCTGAGCCCAAACACCAAGGCCCGCGACCTAAAAATTGGTCGCGGGCCTATTTGTCGACGAACACATTGGTGTTTGTCGAAGGCCCGTGTCGAACACGAACACGTTCGTGTTCGACGCGCCTCGCCGAGCTGAGCCGGGCGAACGGCGAACGTGTTCGGGCGAACACCGAACACGTTCGCCCCGAACAATTTAGGCCAAAAAAAAATCCTGTTCGGTTCGCCTCGAACACGTTCGAGGCGAACCGAACAGGAGTTCGTCATATTGCTCATCCCTACGTCGAACGATGAATATTGAAGGCGGCTTCGCCTAAGAGTGCGGGAGATGATTCCGCAAAGGTAAGAGGATCAAGATCCGCGTGTGCGGTTGAAGAGCTTTGATACCATGTCAGAACTTGAGCTTAGAATCCATGCATTAATAGTGAGCTTGAAGCTCTCTAAGTACATCCAGATAACCAAGGAAAGGATGGTGAAGGGGATTGGGGGCAATCTCTAAGGATTGGGGGTAATCCCAAGGCAATCTCCAATTGGTGGGTTGGAGATTGCTTGGAGATCACATTTGGGTTTGGTTGGGATGTGGTGTACACCCAACCAAACACAAAACTACACTAAAGTAGGATATAAAAAGTGCAAGTACAAAATGTGAGATTGAGGGCTAGCATTAACAGTCATGTCATGTGATGTCATGCCATGTCATGTGATGTCATGTCATGTGATGTCATGCCATGTCATGTGATATCATGCCATGTCATGTGATGTCATGCCATGTCATGTGATGTCATGCCATGTCATGTGATGTCATGTCATGCGATGCCATGCCATGTCATGTGATGTCTATGGGTCGTTTGGCAGCACAGCTGCCGGGGTCAGGGCTCTAGTGGTGAGCTGTTTGACTGCCAACTTGCACCTGTTCAACTGCCAACCTGCACCTGTTTGTCTGCCAGCCTGCACCTGTTTGACTGCCAACCTGCAGGTCTGTGACTATCAAACTGCAACTGTGAACATGGCAAGCCAAGCCAAGCCGGAGTCACATACTGCACCTGCTTGCTTATGGCCCGTGGTTTGTGAAAACTAGGGATTGCCTAGCTGAGGAATGTGAGGGACCTTCTTATGAGATGAGTTTTGAGGCGCCTCAAAACCCCTCCCTAGGTATCGCGCAGCTGAGGAAAACGAAACAGGAATTCTCTTCTGACGGCGTTCTTCTCTCATGGCCTTCTTCTCTCATGGCCTTTTTCTCTCATGGCCTTTTTCTGTCATGGCCTTCTTCTCCTTAGATGCGCGAGGAACCCTTTCTCATGTGCGACCTTAGCTTGCTGCCATGGTGAAACGCATGGGAGGGAGAAGCAATCCAGCGTGGCTTGCCATGTATTAAATGCAACGATGGTTTTGAGGTGCCTCTGGAATTGTCTAAAGCATGGCTATCTGCCACTCACAGGTCTTCTAAGCGGGTGAGGCGAAGCAGTGTGGCTGGAAGGGACCCTGTGAGCTTGGTGCTTGAAAGTTGCCTGGATGGGGGGAAGTTGTGTGTAGGGCGGCGAGGGAGGCAAATGAGCTTTGAGACGCAGGGCCATGAACCCGGGAGGCACGCATGGCATGGGAGTGGCTGGCTCGCATGGGGGTGGTTGGCATGGCATGGGGGTGGTTGGCATGGCATGGGGGTGGTTGGCATGGCATGGGGGTGGTTGGCATGGCATGGGGGTGGTTGGCATGGCATGGGAGTGGTTGGCATGGCATGGGGTTGGTTGGCATGGCATGAGGTTGGTTGGCATGGCATGGGGTTGGTTGGCATGGCATGGGGTTGGTTGACATGGCATGGGGTTGGTTGGCATGGCATGGGGTTGGTTGGCATGGCATGGGGTTGGTTGGCATGGCATGGGGTTGGTTGGCATGGCATGGGGTTGGTTGGCATGGCATGGGGTTGGAGTTGAGGTTTTACGGCAGAGGCGTGTGAGGCAAGAAAGGAATCAGGCGAGGTTAGATATGCATGCTGGAGATATGCCAGCCATGGGTGGAGATAGGCCAGCCATGGGTGGAGATAGGGCAGCCATGGGTGGAGATAGGCCAGCCATGGGTGGAGATAGGCCAGCCATGGGTGGAGATAGGCCAGCCATGGGTGGAGATAGGCCAGACATGGGTGGAGATAGGCCAGCCATGGGTGGAGATAGGGCAGCCATGGGTGGAGATAGGGCAGCCATGGGTGGAGATAGGCCAGCCATGGGTGGAGATAGGCCAGCCATGGGTGGATAGAAAGCATAGTTGCATGGATCGACGCATCACCTTGCGCACCAGCATGGACTGGCATGGCATGGGCTTGCATTGCATGGCATGGCATGGCATGGCCTCACATCACATGGCATGGCCTCACATCACATGGCATGGCCTCACATCACATGGCGCAGCATGGCACCGCATGTGGCAGCGTACAGTTCGGTGAGTGTGGTGAGGTTCCCAATGGCATCTGGAATGGGTCCCTCCAACTGCTTGCCACTCACTTCCCTACACGGGGTCATGCGGGGCATGGGGGGTGGGGGGCATGGGGAACATGGGGGGCATGAGGGGCATGGGGTGGGGGGCATGGGGGGGCATAGGGGACATGGGGGACATGGGGGGGCATGATGGGCATGGGGTACATGGGGGGCATGATGGGCATGGGGGGCATGGTCCAGCAGCAGACATGGTCCACCAAGCATGGACCAGCATGTGTGGAGGAGCATGCGTGGGCCATGGATATTCAGAGTCACTAGCCCAGATGCCCACACCAGACCATCCAGCTTCAGCTCATGCATTCAACTTTCCATCCAAAAAAGGGGGAAGGCAGATGGAGGGGGAGGGACAGGGAGAGAGGGGGCGGCAAACGAGAGGGCGGGGAGAGAGGGGGCGGGAAGAGAGGGGGCGGGGAGAGAGGGAACGGAGAGAGAGGGGACGGGAAGAGAGAGAGCGGGGAGGGGAAGGGGGCGGGGGAAGGTGTGCAGGGCGCACAGGGAGACGATGAAGCCTGTCGCATTGCAGCGCACGCCCTCCACCTGCGCGCAGTCCCCCCCCTTGCTCCATCCGCGCAGCTGCGCCTGCCAGTGCCTCTGACACTCCGCCAGCACCGCCGCTGCGGGGAACAGGGGGAGGGGAAGGAGGCGGATTGGGATGAGCAGACTGATAGGGAGAGCAGGACTGGGAGGCGAAAAGGAGGAGAAGAAGGCGAGGAGGAGAGGCGGATGCGGAGAGGGATGGACGGGGATGTACACGGTTCTAGAACAGGACAGCCGTTGGGAGGAATGATGGGAGGGGAAAGTGTGGACTCCGTGAGACTTTGGAAGGCAGGATGGGTTCAGCGTGACCCGGGCAAGCTGGAGAGATGCAACGGCGCATGGGGAAAGGTGAGAGACCCGTGAAGAGCTTCTTCATGCGGGCGTAGCTTAATGTACGGTATATTCTCGACAGTTGCCGTAAATGTACGGGTAATGGTAGTGCGGTAACGATCACAAGCGACAGCGCCGCGACGGACCTTGCGAGGGGTTGAGCGTTACGACAGCCGAGGACGGCGAGGCGAGGGAGAGTATGAGTGATACGAGAAGAACGGCGAGGCGACGCGATCTCGCCATGGTGAATGCATCACAGCCCTTCCGTTTCCTTCTGTGTGGTAATTCAGAACTGAAATCAGCAAGTACTGTAGCACGCCTTCTTTGTTCGCTCGTCACACTCTGATTGTGCCTGCCTGGTCTTGAAGTCAAGTAAGTCCGCGTTAAAGAAAATCCGACATAGGAAAATATGCGAATTAACAAACACGGTGCTCAATAACGGAAACATTAACCCAATTAATGTGGTTTCCATTAGTTCGCTAAGTTGTTTCACGCGTTTGGTCACTTGTAACGAAATTCCAAATTTCAGTTTGAACACAAAACTGGAAATAGCATGAAAGACCGTAAGGCGAGCAGCACATAGGTAATTATAGAACGGAGAAGAGGAGAAAATATTGGACGACTTAGTAGGCCATGGGAGAAGAGAGGGCGGCGGAACACAAGAAAGAGGAAGACGGAGGAGCCTAGAGTGCTTACCGTGAAGCGGAGACATGGGGCGAGTAGGAGAGGGATGACGGACCTGATGATAGAAGCGAGGAGTCATATGAGGATCGAAAACTCGGTTCACTAAATTGATTATGGATCATGGGTGCAACACAATGCTACGTATATATATAGATATATATATATATATGTGTGTGTGTGTGTGTGTGCACGTCAGAAGGCAAGTAACCAGGACGTCACGGGAATGTTTCGATGATCTAGAACCGACGGGAACAGAAACTTCCCGAATTGGTAGTCATTCGGGATTGAATCATGAGTATGCAAAGTTACGCATAAATAACCGAGATGATTCGATAATCGACAACGCCACACCCAGTCCTTGATCTGCTTCCGCATGCCCGCCCACCACCATCCTGTCTGCACAAGCTGCTGCGTCCTCTGCGGCCCCTAATGTCCCAACTTTTCATGCACCTCCCTAATGATGCCCTCCCTTTCTCCTGGCGCCAACACATGTTTCTAGCCTTCCCCTGTTCTCAGCTGTACTTGCCCATTAAACCAGCGGTATTACTTGTCTCGGGCACGCACTCTTGCCGAGGTTGCTCCTTCTACTCATGTTGCCCCTTGAATCCACGCTAGTGCTTCCGTGTCCTCCCAGATATCTGTAGGCCCTCCTTTCATTCCCCCCATTCGCCACTAGACACGCTGACGGCTGAACTTCTAGCGGATTGCGCGACAACCCGTCCACATGTTGCATCGTTTTGCCAGGTCGGTGCTTGATCTCGAAAACATACTCCTGGAGCTTCATAGCCCAGCGCGCGTTGCGCCCCGTTATGTCTGGCGTCTACATCAGCCAGAGTAGAGGCTGGTGGTCATTTACTAGTGTGAATGTCCTGCCGTGCAGATAAACACGGAAATGCTTTACCGCCCAGACCAACGCCAGCCCTTCCCTTTCGTACGATGAGTAGTTAGCTTCTACGGATTAGCAACTCCTGCTTGCAAATGCCACCACCTTTTCCACTTCGCCCTTCATCTGCGCGAGCACCGCCCCCATGCCAGCACTTCTCTAGTCAGTGTGTAGCGTGAAGGGTACGTCTGCCTTCGGTAGTTCCAGTACCGGCCCATTCTTCACTACCCCCATCAGATCCTGTACTGCCTTCTCCTGCTCCAGCCGAGTGTTGTTTGGCCCCATCCTCGCTTGGGCGGGGCCAACTTCGTGCTCGGGTGTGCGGGGAATGCAGCCGACCTTCAGCAATGGGCACAGGGGCCACTACATGGGCGCCGTGCTGGAGGGCGCATGGCTGGAGGGCGCCGAGCAGGAGGAGGCCGACCTGGGCATTTAGGCGTCCTGAACGCCTGGACGGCGTCCTGGGAGTCTGGTTGGCGTCCTGGGAGCCTGGACGCCGACCTGGGCGTCTACACGGCTTTCTGGGCGCCTAGACGCCGACCTGGGCGTCCGAACGGCGACCTAGGCACCTGGACGCCAGACTGGGGACGCCGGGCATGTGTGGCCGGCTACGGACTAAGCAGGTCGACCAGGCAAGGTTGCCTGGTCAACCGGGATACCCGGGCGACGTGTGCGAAGGTCGCCGGGGTGGTTTTTACGAGGCCGACCTCGGAAGTGTTATCCCGAGGTCGACGTGGCTGATGGGCGCAGTCGTTGGCGTGGAGTCTGCCAGGCATTTGCGCTGTGCTCGTGACAAGGCATGGAGCACCAACCGGCTGCACGCACCTGCGAAGTAGGTTCACCATTGTCCTGCGGGTGCAACGCTATGCAGCCAATATGTTGCAGTGTTGGCACACCACAGACTTGCAACGTTGGCAAGCCGCTACTTTGCTGCGGTGGAGCGGTGCAAGCTCTGCTGCGCTGGATCGCGGTTGACTGTGCTGCGCCGGAGGTGGATCAGCAGACTAGCTAGCTCTGTTGTAGTCCTGGATGCCAATGTTGTTGCTATCATTTGTTGTCATGTTCTCCTAGTGAAACTCTTGCAAATTCTCCCCGTGAACTAGCAAGCAGTGTGAACACAAGGAAACGACTAAGGAGCGAACGCAGAGATCACTCTTGCCCCGTGCCTAGCCCGTAGATAGCTCCCGTTGAGTAACTTATCTCCGCATGGTGCGGTGAACGTGGACGGCACCGCAACGTAGTGTTCAGTCTAGCCGACTTTTGCACTTACCTATTGTGTTCGTAGGCCGGCAGCTGTGCGTTAGTCACCATGGTAGGCGCCGTAGGTGACACAGGGGTTGTGGACACTCTTGAGGCACGGCTGGAAAACGCGAGGAGACGTCAGGAGGCTGCCGAGTATGGCGACCTCCCCTAGGCGGTCGTCGAGGCTGGCATCCGCGCTGTATGGGCAACGGAGCACCCTGCTTCTCGGCGAGCATCTCCTCGACCGGTGAACACCGAGGGCGGCGTCGACGTGGGCGTCCACGCCGGTGGTGACCAAGTCGGCAGCAGTGCGGGAGGCACGTCGTTGAGGCAGCGTGGATTGATACACGCTGGTGAAGTTGGCGGCGTTCAGGCGCGAGAGATGTAGTCGTCAGCGGATGCAGGCTCCTTGCAGGGCGACGTCGGAGGACGTCGAAATGGTCTGGCGCCGATGTCGGCGTCTCATGGACCGCGGGAGGAATCGTGCCGAGCTACGTTTACTTCAAGTTCACGCCGGACAGGATCTCGGTCACCCCCCTGCTAGTCGGTCGACCCGACATCTTTACGTGGAAGGAAGCCATCGAGCTTCAGCTGGAGATCGCCGGGCTGAAAGGCTTCACCCGCGGCACCGTGGCGACGCCATCGGAGCTCTACCCCGACCTGCGTGCGAAGTTTTGCGTCGTGCGGCTGTTGACCTTCACGGTAATCTCGCGATGCTGCTCGCCCGGTGTACAGATTGCCTTGAAGCCGTGCAGCGACTACCTGGACGCCGGCCACCAGGCATGGCACTTCATCGAGTCGATATACCAGGTCACCAACGACTTGTACATCGGCCAGCTCGAGGAGCAGATGACACATCTGCGGATGGGCGACCAAGAGACGCGGACCGACTACTTCCATGATGAGGATGTCCGGCGTGCATTACTCGACGGCGTCGTATGTCACGCACGTCTTGAAGGGACTCCCAAGCAGCTAAAACATGATGAAGCGGCTGTCGGTGGTGCCGAGCACGCGGGCGACACTCAGCGAGGACTCCTTGACCTCGTACATCCTGCGGGACGAGGCGATGCACGAGGTCGAGCAGTCCTTCGAGCTCCTGCCGCAGGTGAACTACGTCCCCCTGGCGAAGCAAGGAGGCCGACCGGGGCAACGCGGGTAGTCTAGCGGCAGTGGGAGCAGTGGCGGGAGGCCGGCAAAGGATGCTGATATGAAGAAGTCGGCTAAGGAGAGCGGTCGTGGAGGAGGAGGTCGACATCGGGAATGCTGGCTGTGTGGCGACCCCGACCATCTCTCCTTTGAGTGCCCCGACCGTAGTGTCTCGGACGACGACGATGCCAAGGGAGGCCGAGGGAGGTCGGTTGGGCGTCGCCCTTGTTGGAAGAGTAAGCCGCGCAAGGAGAAGCAGTCGACGAAGTCGACCTGGTGAAGGACGCTGACTCTTCTGCTGGCGGCATTGGCGAGACGACAAGGCGGCGCTATGCTCACTGGTCAGCGTAGTGGAGCCGACCGTCTCGCTGGCACCGGAGGCTGGTGAGGACTTCCAGGCGGTGGCAGCAGCTATGCAGGTGAACCTGGCGGTGGTCCTGCTTGATAGCGGCTGCTCGCACTACCTGATGGGGTCGAAGGAAGCCTTCGTCGACTTGGAGCCGAGCGGCGACGTGAACCATGTGCGCGGCTTCAATGGGGCACTGCAGGACGTCCGAGGCCACGGCACCGTTGCTCTTCAAGGCACAGCTGGTAAGCGGGTGCTCATCCCTGACGTACTCTACGTGCCGGGCGTGCAGGCGAACCTGCTGTCATCCGGCCAGCAAAAGAAGAAGGGTGTGAAGCTACAGGACAGCGACGACGGGATGCTGCTCGTCTCAACGACGGTGGACGTCCTTGGCCTGGGCGTCCGAACGGCATCCAGGGCGCCTCGATGCCGGACTGGGGACGCCGGGCATGTGTGGCCGGCTACGGACTGAGTAGGTCGACCAGGCGAGGTTGCCAGGTCAACCGGGATACCTGGGCGACGTGTGCGAAGGTCGTCGGGGTGGTTTCTACGAGGCCGACCTCCAAAGTGGTATCCCGAGGTCGACGTGGCTGGTGGGTGCTGTCGCTGGCGTGGAGTCTGCCAGGCGTCTGCGTTGTACTCGTGACAAGGCGTGGAGCACCAACCAGCTGCACGCAACTGCGAAGCAGGTTCACGTTGTCTTGCGGGTGCAACGCTGTGCAGCCGACTTGCTGCAGCGTTGGCA